ACCAACACCGCCCTTCCCTACACCTTCTGTAAGATGCTTTCGTGGGGGGGGGGGGGGGGGGCGGAACAAGCACCCCCTCTGGCCTCCCAAAGCAAACCTTTGCAGGCAGCTGGTTTCTGAAACCATCTGCACCTCCCCCCTCACCCCATCACCCCGAAGGCAGCATCTCTCTCTTATCCCAGTGTTTGCTTTCAAAGGTTTGTTTCGTTCCATTTGATGCTAATGGGTTTTTTAAACCTCTTACAAAGCCTGGCTGTGCTTTAGGGCACTGCAACAGCTTAAGGCCAGCGGCTCTGAGGAGGAAAGGCTGGGTCTGGGTCCAGGCTGAGGTAGGCAAGTGCGGGGCGTCTCCAGGGACCAAGCACTAGGACACATACAAGGTTGTATTGGAAGAATATCCAATCCAGCCAGAGGGAACTCCCACTGGTCAAATCCAGCGCAGATATTGAGGACAGGCAGCTGGGCGCCTCTACCCTATGACCCACTGTCCCTTACTCCATACGTGGGCAGACGCCTCACACCGTTCCCCTCTCCTAGGGCCGCATGATTACAAAGCCCACACCCAGGACAGCGGGGCAGGAAATGGGGTTCATATGGGGGAAGTTTCAAGCAGCAGTCTCCCTGGCCAGCGCTGTGGAGGGCTGGGTCACCCCCATCAGGACTGAAGCTTTAAGGCCTTTCTGGATGGAGGTGAGAGAAGCTCTCTGGCACCCCACCTCCACTGTCTTGGCTGCAAGAGTATTAATGAGCACTGTGGGGTGCTCTCTGCAGGGCCCAGAAGGCTGGGCTGGCCCTGCAACAGACAGAGACCCTACTGCAGACTCTGCTGCTCTCCTGGCCTCTACTTGGAAAACAGACGCCAGGGGACTGTATTGCAAGACATAATGCCCAGGAGGGGGAGGGGGGGAGGAAGGGAGAGAGAGAGAGAGGGAGAGAAGGAGGGAGAGAGAGGTGGGAGAGAGAGGAGGGAGAGAGAGAAGGAGAGAGAGAAGGAGAGAGAGAGGAGGGAGAGAGAAGGAGGGAGAGAGAAGGAGGGAGAGAGAGGAGGGAGAGAGAGAAGGAGAGAGAGAGGAGGGAGAGAGAGAAGGAGAGAGAGAGAGAGAAGGAGAGAGAGAGGAGGGAGAGAGAGAAGGAGAGAGAGAGGAGGGAGAGAGAAGGAGGGAGAGAGAGAAGGAGAGAGAGGGAGGGACACAGGAAGACAGAGAGAGGGAGAGAGAGGAAGAGAGGCAGAAAGAGGGAGGAAGAGAGGGAGGGAGAGACAGAGAGGGAGAAGTAGGGAGAGAGAGAGGGAGGGGGGAGGGAGAGAGAGAGAGAGAGAGAGAGAGAGAGAGAGAGAGAGAGAAGAAAAGAGACAGCCTATGGGGGCCAGGGTTGCAGGAGGGAAACTTGAATCCTGGTGATGGGAAATGTGGATGGGTGTTGGAACATTGTATGACTGAAATCCAATTATGAGTAACTTTGTAACTGTGTATTTCACAGTGACTCAATAAAAAAAATAATGAAAAATAGACAGACCTATCAGCATCCCCACCAACAATGAAGAAGAGTCCCTTTCTCCATGCATACATCCCAGCACTAGTTGTTTTTGCTCTTTTTGAAGTGTGCCAGTCTCTGTAGAGTGAGATGATATCTCATTGTTGTTTTGATTTGCATCTCCCCAATGATTAGTGATGTGGAGCATTTTTTCATGTGCCTTTTGGCCGTTTGTATTTCTCCTTTTAGCAAGTTTCTGTTCGTCTCTTCTCCCCATTTTTTTGATGAGGTTGGATGTTTTGTTTTTGGAAAGTTCTACCAGTTAATATATCTTATATATCTCGGATATTAATCCCTTATCAGTTGGGTGTTGGGTAAAAAGTTACTCTGGACAAGAACTGAGTGATGAAAGGAAGTAAGTGATATACATGATACTCCTTTAGTAACAGTTTTCCAAACCACAGTGCCCAAAGGAAAAGAGAGAGAGAGACATGGGACCGGGGGCATTATGGCCCGTCCTTCACGCCCTACCGAGGTCACCAGTTGCCCCCCACGAGCGGCTCTCCGGCACGGCCATGGCCCCAGAAGCACAAAGACTTAATACAGAAAACCAGCAGCTTGGAGCAGAAAAGCGAACGGACTATGCATTAATCCACACCATCTTGCCTGCCCGGAGGGGAAAGGGTGTTGCCCCATTCGCCCTCTCCTCTCTGGAAAGAAAGATGGTGGCCTCATGGGAGCCTTGTGGAGAGCAGGTCTGAGCCGGGGGTGGGGGAGCAACGGATACCTCATGGGAGGGGGGGCGTTCCAGCCCGTCCTTCACGCCCTACCGAGGTCACCAGTTGCCCCCCACGAGCAGCTCTCCGGCACGGCCACGGCCCCAGAAGCACAGAAACCAATCTCTTAATTATCTGACTCTCAGTAGAAATATTTCCAGGGTTAATAAATAAAATAGCAGAAATCCAAAACCGCGCAGCCGCTATTGCGGCCGCAGCACATCATTTAATTCTTGAACCCAGCTGTAGAAAGCAAATCATTTCACAATGCTTTTTCAGCATGGCTGATGGGGGGGGGGGGGGTAAAGTCTAAATAATAATGGTGCAACTTTTATCGAAACAATGAAGCTAGTCAAAGTAGACAGAGTGTTAACTAGAATTCATCTGCCTCACAGACATTGGGGGGGGTGACTTATTGGGGTTCTTCGTGGTGAAAAATAAGTATTGGTAAAGGGAAATGTGATTGGTATTTGCATGACCGAGACCTAAACCTGAAAGCTTTGTAACTTTTCCCACAGTGATTCAAGAAAGAAAGAAAGAAAGAAAGAAAGAAAGAAAGAAAGAAAGAAAGAAAGAAAGAAAGAAAGGAGAGAAAGAAAGAAAGAAAGAAAGAAAGAAAGAAAGAAAGAAAGAAAGAAAGAAAGAAAAGAGAGAGAGAAAAAAAGGTCTACCATAGTGGCAGGCTTGGGGTAGGGTTAAGGTGGGCAGGAGAAAAACCAGGCACATTGATAGCAAAAAATGTGCACTGGTGAAGGAACCGGTGTTGGAACATTGTATGACTGAAAGTCAACCATGAGGGGGCCGGAGTGATAGCACAGCGGGTAGGGCGTTTGCCTTGCACGCGGCCGACCTGGGTTCAATCCCCGGCAACCCATATGGTTCCCCCAAGCACCACCAGGAGTAATTCCTGAGTGCAGAGCCAGGAATAACCCCTGAGTATCGCTGGGTGTGACCCAAAAAGCAAAAAAAAAAAAAAAAAAGAAAAGAAAAGAAAAAGAAAGTCAATCATGAACAACTTTGAAACTGTGTATCTCACGGAGACTCAGTTAAAAAAAAATTTTTAAAAAATAGACACAGTACTTTCAAACATATTGTGGATAAACGGTCACTGTCACTGTCACTGTCCTCCCATTGTTCATGGACGAGAGGACCCAGTAACATTGTGAGACTTGTTACTGTGTTTGGCATATTGAATACATCACGGGTAGCCTGCCAGACTTTGCCGGGTGAGATACTCTCAGTAGCTTGCCAGGCTCTCCAAGAGGGGCAGAGGAATCGAACTCGGGTCGGCCGTGTTGGGGGTAAACGGTGAACCACCCCAATTCTGCTCAAGTTAGAGGCATCGAGGGCACGGCAGGAAGTGCAGCTAGCCGGGGATGTGATGGAGTGGAGGAAGTGGGGACTCCAAGAGTATACAGATGAGGTTTCTCTCCTGACTCAGCATCATCATGCTGAGGCAGCCCCAGGCCAGCGGGAAAGTAAGTGGCCGCCCCCAGAGAGCCAGGCAGCAGGGACAGGCTGCCCAGAGAATGTCCAACTCCGGACTCGCCAGCAGCCACCCATGGGTCTTTCCAGCTGCCGAGGAGAAAATGCTCCCCACATTCAAGGCTCCCCTTGAGCTTCTGTAACTGCACTGGTTTGCCTTAGCTAAGGAGAAACTTGACTAACGCAGCCCAGCAGAGCGTGGGAAGGAAAAGGTTCACACTCTGCCTGAACTCGGGTTCGGGGCTGTCTCAGGCTTGGCGGCCGCAAGCGTGTTTGAAACTTCCCGGGTGACCTCTCACCCAACAACACGGCAAGGTTTGCATGTAAGCGGGAAAGAGAAACATCGTCTGAAGCTTCATGATGAGAAGGTGATGACAGAACACTGCAGGACAGGCCAGAGAGACTGCAAGGCGGGGAGGCACTGCTGGGCACACGGCCGACCCCAGCTTGGTCCTCAGCTCCACCTAAAAAAATTCCCTGGGGCTGGAGCACAGTGGGGTAGGGCGTTTGCCTTGCATGCAGCCCACCTGGGTTTGATCCGTGGCATCCCATATGGTCCCCCGAGCACCGCCAAGAGTAATTCCTGAGTGCAGAGTCAGGAGTAACCCCTGAGCATCGCTGGGTAAGACCCAAAAAGCAAAAATAAATCCCCTGAGCCCCACCAGGAGGGATCCCTGGGCACAGAGTCAGGAGTAAGCCCTGAGCACAGAGCCAGGAGTCAGCCCTGAGCACAGAGCCAGGAGTAAGCCCTGAGCACTGCCAGGCATGGCCTGAAAACAACTTAAAAATAAAAACAAATTTTTAAAAAGTTCAGGGACCGGAGCAATAGCACAGCAGGCCATGCACACAGCCGACCAGGGTTCAATTCCCAGCATCCCAAATGGTCCCCCAAGCACCGCCAGGAGTAATTCCTGAGTGCATGAGCCAGGGGTAACCCCTGTGAATCACCAGGTGTGACCCAAAAAGAAAATAAATTAAATTAAAATAAAGTGGAAGCGAACTGGAGAGATAACACAATGCACAGGATGCTTATTTCGCACACGGCCAACCAGGGTTCAATTCCCAGCACTGTATAGGACCTCTCAAACTCCTCCAGGAGTGATCCCTGAGCCCCGAGCACACTGGGAGTGGCCCCGAAAGCAAACTAAACAAAGCAATCTGCCTCCACCCCACCCCTCCTCCAAGTCCCAGGCAGCACTGATGAAACCACACCAGGATGCAGCAGATGCAGGAATCCATCACTGCCAGAATGCAGTTCTCACTTACTCAGGGAAGAGACCACTGTGAGGTTGACGGTGACCGACCTGGGCTCGGACAGCCCCTTCATGTGCGCCACACAGGTCACAGCCCCGCTGTCCTGAGGCACGAGCGTCAGCACGCTGGATATGCTGTGGGGGTCCCCAGGCTCCAGGACGGAACTGTAGCTCCAGTTGATGGCCTGAATCTCCAGCTCCCAGGAGAGGTCTGGCAGAGGGGTCCAATCCGAGGCGTGGCAGGTGACATTATGAGGCTGGTCCCTGAGCAGATATTCGGTCTCGGGGATGAGCAGTGTCCCCACAGCTAGGGAAGGAAAGAGAAAGGTCTGAGAGAAGGTCGGGAAGCTCTCACTTCTAGGCTTCCCCTCCCAGTCCAGGGAGCCCACTTCCTCAGACCACACAGGCTGGGTCTGCATGGGGAAATTTGTCCGTGCTGGGTTCACTGAGGAAGGCAAGGCTGGGGATGAAAACATCCCAATCAGGGTGGAAAAAATATGGGAAACAGAGGCAGAGGCTGTGTCCTGGGGCAGCTCCTGCAGCTGGCTGCAGACTTGCTCTGCATCTAGATGGAGCTCATGGAAGAAGAAAGAACCATCCTTGCATTCCTTTCATGGTCCAGAGGACACAGTTGTCAGCAGTGGAAGCAAACCTCCCCCTGGCTCCAGTTGGTTGCCTTTGTTTTATTTAGGGGAGTCACAGACTTTTTTGTCTCTTTGTTTAAAGAAGTGATCCAAATGCTGAAGTGTTGGAAACATCCCTATGGAAAGAACCAAGGACTTCACATACATGGCACTGTGAATCCTGAAATCACTTCAAGCATTTCTTCTTCTCTCTGAAAGTATTTTTTCAATTATTTATGTTGGGCACTGGTGGAGGAATGGGTACTTGATCATTGTATGACTGAAACATAATCACAAAAGTTTGGAAATCTGTAACTATATCTCACGGTGATTCATTAAAATTTTTTTTAAAAAAAGAATAAAAATGGCTATAACCCAAAAAAAAAGTTGAAATTATTTTGTACAGTTGTACCAGTACAACTGTTTGGTGTTCGCCCTCCTGTGACACTGCCACAATACCAGATTCCCTCTGTCATTACCCCAAGGTCCTCCCCAAACACCCAGTGGCCTCAAATCCCACTTCTATTGATTGTAGAATGGGGTTGTTCCCAATAGTGATTATCTAGCTCCTCACTTTGTTTCTTTATGCTCTTTGTTTCTATATCTCTGAGTGAGATAATCTGGTATTTGTCTTTTTCTTTCTTACCCACCTTACCTAGCATGGCTTCCTCTAGTTCTATCCAAGTCACAGCAAACTACAAGATTCTACCCTTTTTTACTGCTGAGTAATATTCCACTGGAATTACAGATTTTTTAGACATAACTTCCTATGACTTGGTCTTAAAATATTCTCATAGTAAATTTACATACAAATGGTACTACATAGAAAGTATCATGTTAAGCGAAATGACTCAGAAAGAAAGGGATAGACATAGAAAGATTGCATTCATCTGGGGAACATAAAGTAACAAAATAGGAAACTAACACCCAAGAATGACCGAGATTAGTACCAGGAATTTTACTCCATGGCTTGGAGGCCAACCACATATGCTAGGGGAAAAGGGAGCTCAGATAGAGAAGGGAACACCAAATAAAGGTGTTGGGAGGATCCTCCCAGGATGGGAGAAGCATGCTGAAAGTAGACTATTGACCAAACATGATTGTCACCCATTGCCTCTTTTGCAAACCACAACACCCAATAAGAGAGAGAGAACAAAAGGGAATGCCCTGCCACAGAGTCAGGGTGGGATGGGAGGGACGGGGGGTGGGAGGGATACTGGGATCCGTGGTGGTGGGAAAAGGGCACTGGTGGAGGGATGGGTATTTGATCTTTGTATAATTGAAACCCAAGCACAAAAATTTGTAAGTCTACAACTGTAACTCATGATGTCTCACTAATAAAAAAAAAACATTCTCATAGTTACAATTTAAATCAGAATCAAATCTAATACAATGAGAGAAATAATAAACTAGGATTACAAATCACATGCTGACAGATACTAGTAGAGACTGAACTATTACCCTGGTAATAGTACAGATTTTTTAGACATAACTTCCTATGACTTGGTCTTAAAATATTCTCATAGTAAATTTACATACAAATGGTACTACATAGAAAGTATCATGTTAAGCGAAATGACTCAGAAAGAAAGGGATAGACATAGAAAGATTGCATTCATCTGGGGAACATAAAGTAACAGGTACCTAATGTTTTCATTTCATCTTTATTTTATTTAAGTATCTATTAAGAACCCACATGCATCACCATGCTCACACACTACAAATAACACACCTGCAAACTGTTATGTTAGTATGTATATACCAACTAGTACTAATATCACTGAAGTAATCTGAGCACTGACCCAGGTAAAGGCACAGCCTCGGTGAAGTACAACAGCACTGAAATACACAGACTAACATTCTGAAATGTCCTTCAATATATAGAGAAAACTCTGGAGAAGAAAACAAAGGCTCTGATTTCAGTCCTGACTTTTTCACAAAATTGCCAAGTCACTGGAATTCCAAGCTCTGTTTCCTACCAACTGGTCATCAGCCTTCAGACATTTTGTTTTCTGTGTTTTATACACTTAAAACTCCCTGATGAGGACCCTCTGCGTGCTGCTCCACCATCTCGGGTGAGGCTGGCCTCTGCTTTTCTGGACTGGGAGACCGAGCCCCTCCCCCCTGGGTGGGTCCCAGAAGCCCCCTACCACAGCACCTGAAGCAGCCGTGCATCAGACAAACTCTACAAATTACACGCTGCTCAGAGTACACACAAATGGTCATGCTAGGAGGATGGGCAGAGAAGAACAAGAACAACCTCTAGCCTCACCTCACAGCATCATCCAGAGGGATTCACTACAAAGATTCACACATCACCCGCATAGCCAGGACACCAGAAAACTCATGGGAAAAAAAGGTAGACGTCCAAGTCCAATAAATGAAAACAGTATCACCAAAGATATAAACAACAGAGATAAATCCTCAGAGAGTATCTTCAGTGACACTGTGATGAGGATGTTCAGTGGGCTCGAAGAAACAATAGCACAGGGAATCAGCAAAGCACAAGAAAGTATAAAAGTCTAAATGAAAAAAAAAACTATAATAATCAAGGCTAAGAGAAAGAGTCCAAAGGGTTAGGTGGTGGCCAAAACAGATGTGATCCTCAGCATCCCATATGGTCCCCTGAGCTCCACACCAGGAGAGATTCCTGAGCGCAAAGCCAGGAGGAACCTGGCTTAAAAAAAAAATACAACCGGAAATAAAGATCATGGTAGGTAATAAGGAAAAAAAAACCTCAATAGAAACTCTGAATATCAGGATAACAGCAGCTGAGCCAAAGGTCAAGGAGCTCTAAGACGTAAAGGAGGAAACTGCTAGGAAAAAGGCAGAAGGGAATAGTCTAGAATAGTCTAAATAGAAATGAATAGCATCCCAGGAAACTGTGGAGTGAACTCAAGAGGAAATAAATACAAATCATCAGAGTCCCTGGAGTACAGAAAGGAAGGCAAATGTGAAAATGAAACAATCGTTGAAGAAGTCATTGAGATAGTTGGAAATGATCACTCTGGAGAAGAAGTGTGTGCTGAAAGCAGGTAAAGGAACAAACAGGATAACCTCTCAGTATGTGCATTGCAAACCATAATGCCCAAAAGGGGAGAGAGAGCAAGGGGGTGAGAGAGAGAGAGAGAGAGAGAGAGTGAGTGAGAGAAGAAAAGCGCCTGCCATAAAGGCAGGCAGGGGGTGGGGGTGATGGGAGGGCACCTGGGGACACTGATGCTGGGAAACGTGCACTGGTGGGGGGATGGATGTTGGAACATTGTATGACTGAAACCCATAATGAACAGCTTTGTAACTGTATGATTTCTTTTTTTTTTTTTAAAGAAAAGGTAAAAAAATAAATCACTGATAAAAATTTCTCAGAGGAGGAATACAGATATCGAAATCCAAGAGGCCCAAAGTTTCCCGGCAAAAATAAACTCAAGTAGGAAAATTCCAAGACACAATGTACTCAGGATGACAAAAGCCAAAGACAGAATATTGAAAGCAGCAAGATCAGAAAAGGAAACTGCATAGTATATACAACAGATCTATCACGTGAGATTTTGCAATCTAGAAGAGTATGGAAGGATATAGCACAAAACCTCAACAAAATCAACACCTCACTGAGAATACTCTATTCAGCTAGATTACTGCCCAGATTTGAAAGAACTATGCAGAGCTTCATGTAGAGGGAACAGCTTAGGGAATTCATAAGCCCTGAAATCAGTTTTACAGGAAGCATTGAAAGAGTTTCTTCAAAGGACAGGAGAAACTTCCCATCAAGTGGCATTGAGTAAGACTCTCAATCCTGGTGCATATGGTTGTCCTTTTGCTTGATTAAGAAAGGTTAAAAACATACAGCAATTGTAGGTAGCATCGCCCTCCCATTGTTCATCGATTTGCTCGAGCGGGCACCAGTAACATCTCCATTATGAGACTTGTTACTGTTTCTGGCATATCGAATACACAATGGGGAGCTTGCCAGGTTCTGCTGTGTGGGCGGGATACTCTCGATAGCTCTCCGAGAGGGGCGGAGGAATCAAACTAGGGTTGGCTGTGTTGGCTGCATGCAAGGCAAACACCCTACTGGCTGTGCTAGCGCTCCAGCCCAGAAAAAATTAATATGAAATAAAAATCTTATATGGACGTCAAGGGGGGCATGATGGGGTCTGGGAGGGAACCTAGGGACGTTAGTGGAGGGAAGAGAACATTGATGGTGGGATTGGTGTTGGAACATGTCACTGTCACTGTCACTGTCCTCCCGTTGTTCATTGATTTGCTCGAGCAGGCACCAGTAACGTCTCACAACAAATTGTGAGACTTGTTGTTACTGTTTTTGGCACATTGAATACGTCAAGGGTAGCTTGCCAGGCTTTGCTGTGTGGGTGAGATACTCTTGGTAGCTTTCCAGGCTCTCCGAGAGGGGCAGAGAAATCGAACCCAGGTCAGCCACATGCAAGGCAGACACCCTACACACTGTGCTATCGCTCCAGCCCTGGCATGCTTAAAAATTTTTATAACAAAAATTTAACAATAAAAATATCACTGAAGACTCCAAGACCTTTAGTTTATGTAGATTATATCTATCAATGTTTACCATTATTTTAAATTAAAATTAAATGTGTCTATTTTTTAATTAGAGACCTTGATAGCAGACCTGATTCTATAATTATCTTAAGGAACATATTGGCCAAATTCTTCA